GGCCAACAGCTATGAAACGGTTCATTCTCTTAACGGCTCTGCTGTCACTACTGTTAGCTGTTGTGGTTTGGTCACCAACCAAAAGGGGAAATAATAGCATTAATTTAGCTTCAGTACAAGTTAAAATGTTTCACATCCACCAGACGTGTGCTGTCGTTAGAAGGATCAAAAGGTTTGGGGTTTGACACCACAGCATATTCTTGAATCCTTGTTTTGCACCTGCAGCCTTCTAATTTCACCCGTATTCTGTTATCAACTCTTAAGACTTATTTAGACTCTATGGTAGTTAAAAGCAGTGCTCGTAAAAAGCAATGGGTGGTAATAGGAAGAATATCTGGAAGCACGGAAGATAAGGTTTCCATCGCCGTGCTATTAAAGAAAATAAACCACTTTAGAGATTTAAAGAAGATATGAGAGAAGGAAGGCGTAGAGGAAATAAATGGACTCATACTATCACATGCTTAAACAAATATCTGACAATTGATCCACAATCTCACGCTATGGACATATACTTCTATCTTAAGGCATTCCTCTTACAGTCATACAGCCACCTCTCGCTGGTACAACCCACCATGGGTACCTGCAGTACATCAGTGTCTGTACTTCTGCTGGCTACTTCCCAACAGCCACTGATCACAAGCCTCCTGTTCTTAAAGCTATAAAAACAACACGGTAGAAATTAGCTATTTATTGTCTTTCTTTCTCTAATGACCGGAATCGTATCCTGGAAAACGTGTCGTCTGTTCCTTGGTGAACTCTCAGCAGAACGATTTAAAAGTCGTCTCTCTCAGGGACTTCTAAGGAAGCAAAGAGGGATCTTCACTCATTAATGAGCTATCTCTGCTTTGGTCAGTCAATATTTAAATAGGCTTGGCTGATCAGCCTGTTTGTTTGGTATCGGTCTGCTGCCTGCAGGATCGTTTGTGTTTGACATGTTTTCGTCTGCTGTCTCGTGGATGTAACTTTGGAGTGGAGGGACTCATACGCTCAGCTGGTCTTTCTGTCCAATTCCACTGTGGTCCAGACTGAACAATCTCCACAAGTATAATATGGAAAGCCATGATTTTCTAGACATTCATGGGCCCCAGAGGATGTATACTAATGACTTTGGTGAACCACTGGCTTTTCCTCTAGCGCCACCATGAGGTTTGCATATTCGGTTAAAAGGAATACATCCCAACAACTGTTGGTTGGATTGCCATGAAATCTGGTGCAGACATTCATTGTTCCAAGAGGATACATCTGCCTGCATTTGGTGTGAAATGGCTCGAAAACTATTTTATGGATTGCATGGAATTTTGGACACATATTCATGTTACCCAAAGGAAGACTTGTTATAACTTTTGTGTTTAAAACACCTTTCAAAACTAATGACGTTCCCATTCGCCTCAACTGTGATCTGTACTAATTAGCAGATTATTCTAAGGCGATAGAATGTATACCTGCTAAACATTAGCATCTTAACGTTGACATTGAGAGCTCGTTAGTATAAACTGCCGTTAGCGTTAAGATCAAAGCACTGCTGTGCCTGAATACTGTCTCACAGAACCGCTAGCGTTGCTTTACACGATAAACCTAGTTCAACACAGATAAAGGACACGAAGATACTGGGAAGCCCGTTACCAAACGGATTCCTCTTTTTGACTTACTGTATTTTCACAAGCTACAGTTATGTGGTTGTTACCCAGAGAAGCACAGATGTACTTGAGTTATCTTTGGCAGCCCGAGAAGCTGAGTGAACGAAGGCACTCCTCTAATTCTGGAGTTCAGGGGATTTTTGTGTTTCGCTCCCTCCACTCCTCCCTCCTTCCCTCCCTCATCTCCTTCCCTCCCTGGTTTCCTCTGGCTTCGCTGTCTTTGTACACTCCAGCGCTCCCGCTACAGTCAAGCCTAAGCCGATAGGACACTGAGCTGTATGTAAATCAATTTGGAACGCCAGCCGTATGTGGAAATAGAATTAAACTTGTCAACCACACCTCTTTAGTTCCTCCTCTTTCTTTATCTCTCTTCCCTTCTGTAGTAGTGTGCTCTTTTTCAAGTTCGGCATACGGTACCCTACGTAGCAGCTATATGAAGGCTTAGGGTTAGGCTCGTGGGGGAGAAGGGATTAAAAGAAATCACTGAAGTTAGCAGCCTTCAAAGGAAGCAGAGAGACTGCGAGAGGAGCCACATTTCTCTCAAATGGTTTCGTGCTCAAGGGGCTTTGTGTAATGGTGAATTATGACATGAGGCATGGAGTCACATGTATGGAAATGAGGCTCAGCGCTTTACATTTGCACAGAACACTGTACCTTTTTGAAAGAAAAAGAAAGTTCGGTTTGATTTGTTCTTTTCAAATGAAACTCAACAACAGCAACAGACTGTAATGAGGTTTTTTTCTGCCCGGTCGCTGCTTTGTGATATTCATATCTGCGGCAGCCATTCATTGATTGTTGAGTCGGATGTACTGTATGTCAGCTATCCACTGATGCCAAGAGACAGAAAGGGAACAGGAACATTTGTTCATCTGAGACTATTAGTATAAATAGCAAATCAGACTCCTAATTTTGTTCAAACAACATTAGCGCGGACAACACACGAGACTCTAAAGGACAATTTCGAAAGCTATTCATCTGGCTTTGAGAAAATAGTCAATAATTAATGCCCTGAATTAATTTTCAGAGAAATCCAATAAATTCTGAAGACCAGTTTGATGATAAAGATGCTAAAAAAAAGAGATGAGGGATTATTTTTGAAGAGAAATTTGTGTTTTCTTACTCCCAGAGACTCCATTATAGAGCCCCTCATCCATCACAATTAACCTGGGCGACTATTAGTGAATCTTTAATTAGACGTTAGACTGTCTAATGAATCGCAACACACACGTAGGAGCATCGACTCGAGCTATTAGAGGAGATTTATACATTTGATGAAAACGTTTTTTCAACATTTTTGGAAAAGAAAGTCAGAAAAGAATATATGTATATTTCATCAGACCAATTCTCATCTGCCATTCTCCATCTAAACTGTATTTGATTAGCTGCACGTTCCTCTAGCCAAACACAGGGATGGAGGTGGGTAGTTGTTGCTTAGAATAGGTCGGTATAAGCACATGAAAGTATTCTGGTATTCAGAGAGAAACGGCACCCTCGCCTTCCTCCTCCTCCTCCAACCGGCTTCAGTGGTTAAACACGACCAACACGTCTCGGGTGCAGTGGGGATGACATTCTCTATCTGCTCTCAATGAAAATGTCAAATCTTGTTTAGAATACACTCAGGAGAAAGTAAATCCAAGGCCTGTTTTTTAAAATGTTGCAGTCAGTCCAACCACTCCGATGTATTTCAGTCAGTAAAAAGGCAAAGAGGGAACACGGTAGAGCTGTAAAGAAATGAGAACCAAGGGGTCCTTTCCAGCTGTGTGAGGTACACAACCCCACATCACAGAGCTAACAGGGAAAAGCAAACTCTTCTCAAACACACAGCAAACCCTCACGGCCTCATAAAGCTGTGTACTCCTGCCAAGGAGTTGATTACAGGCCGATCCCACAATGTAAGAGCTGCAGCTCTAATACAGTGTGTGTTGTAGTACCGGGGGCCACGCTGCTCCCAAACGTGCCCTCAAAGTACGGCACGTGAGCATTTGCGTTGGAATTACCGCCCAAATGACACAAATCCTGTCTTTACTGCAAACACATCCCGTATTAGAGCATATTGAATTTGCCCTCCTTTCAACAAAAAAAACATCACAGTTTTGCACTGGTGTTTTCATGAAGTGGTTGTTTATCACTGTCCCTTTTCAAACACTGCTTTTTGCAAGTTAAGTATAAAGATGCCTATTTGGGGATTTTTCCATTTTTCCACACGCTAGCCTCTGATGTGTCATCCATTTTTAATGAGACATACCGGGCTCTTTAAAGTGATTACCGGCCGCCAGCTTATCACATTGGTTTAAGAACTCGCTAATAGCCTGATAAGGCACATTAAAGCCATAATAAGTATTTAATGTAGTTAAATGTGGTCAGGCTCGGTCCGCGGAGGATGGATCCTTTTTTAAGCGGGTCATAGAAAATGAACTTTGAATGTACAGATAAGATATGAAATTGTCCTGAAGTGTGTAACAACGTACATTATTGGCTTAATCCACCCTCATCTAATTTGGTCCGTGCGAGCTTTGTGGGATATCAGAGCGCTGTGGGATATGAATGATTTCCGCTGTGATTTGGACAAACACTGCCTCCCAGTTTTTTTTAAATCCTCTCCATCTCCTCCTCTGTCTTTAATGCATCTCGTGTTTTCTGCAGAAAAGAATGTCAGACAACTTGTGACATCGTTCTGAAACGTTTTGTCTGCTTGTTTTATTGCTTTATGTTCATCTCTTGTGCTTTTAAAAAAAAAAAAAAAATACATTTTGGACAGGAATCATGTCACATTCAGAGTTTAATTTTTCATTTGCTGTTACCTTCTCACCTGCTAGTACTCCCTCTCTCTTTCTTACACACACACACATTCATGCGACCTGAGCTCATCCTGCCTGATGTCAGTGCGATTATGCAGCTGCAAGAGATGGGTGTTCCTGCTGCTCCTCTGCCAATGCTCGGGGTGGGGCTCTCTGCGTCCATCTGCTCATGGCCCTTGGAGGAGAACCATCACACACACACGCGGACACACAGTTTAAAATGTGTCCACACACACACACACTCATGTGCACCACAAACCTACGTGCGCGAAATAATTCCCTCAGCAGGGATTCAGAATGCCAGGGGATTCAAGGACACGTACAATAAATTCACATCTCATACATCCACAGGAAAAGTCTCTCCTGGCCTCAGAATGCTACGCAAGTCATCCACATTATCCCCCAAATCCTCACAAGCAACACTAAAAAAAGTCGACTAAAGGTCGAGTTTTGTTAGTTGTCTTAAAACACAGACTTTTTTCACTTCACATTCACAGTGTTGAATAAATACCTGGGTGTTTGATGTGTTTTCTCTCTCTCTCTCTCTCTCTCTCTCTCTTCTTAGGGGTCTTTTTGCAGGCCATTACACTGAGACACATTACCGGGAGGATGGAAGTGCAGTCACCGGTGCTCACAACTTCACGGTACGGTGACACTCAAGTGCTTTTGACATTTACGGTCGAGTTGACGTGCAGTGACGCTGTAAAAAAGTGACCCTTTAAAAGTGATCACGAAGACAGATGTTTTCTTTTACTTGTAGAGGATCGGTATTCTAGATTATGATCTACACTGAACCTAATGTAGGATTGAAAATAGATAGTTTATTTTGATTGTTTCTTATTCTCAGCTATAATGTCAACCATGTGCATTTGGAAACCTCTGGCTGTTGGTGACCAGCACATCCATCCTGTGGCCTACTTCATGATAAGCTGTGTTTTATGCCGGCTGGTTTTCAGCCAACATGGCCATCAGGATTTCATTATGGAATCCCCTTTTAGCAGCTGATCTATTCCGGAGTACTTTTCACTTTCTGTTCCATGTGCATGCTGGCCGTGTTAAGCAGAAGAGTGCCTGCTACTCTTGAAAATGAAGAAGAGATTGATGTTCAATTTGAGTTTTGAGTACTTGTCGAAGCTATTCTCACTGTGCCACTGTGGCAGAACTGGTTCTGTATTGTATGATGGAGGTATTTTTTATTTGAACTTAGGTTGAAAGCAGCCATAGGATAACGTTTCTTTGAAAAGCATTCTCTCTTTCTTTCTTACTTAACAGACTCTTTTGATCTTTTGCGGTTTAATTCAATCAGTGTTTAATTGAACGGTGGTGAGGACAGTTTGCCGCTTACAACTCGGAGGAGAAATGTTTGGTAATTTGGCAATGGCTGACAGGTCTATTTCCCTGCAAAGTTATACAAACATTGTTTTCCACTCTCTCTCGCTCTCGCCTTTAATCTTGAGTGGGAATGATGCTGCAAGCATTGCATCAGGCTGTCAAATAGACATACTGTATTGTCTTAGATAAGCTTTACGCAGCGGCACAATTTCACCACCTGCTGTCACTGAACTGCAATCATCCATGTGTTAATCCGGGTGCAACGGAAAGATGTGAAGAGGTAAATATACTCTGCCGTTTTATGAATTATCTAAGACGGAAGAATCTAAATATAATGACTTTGCTGCGTCTGCTCTAGCACACAAGTCAACACCTATAAGATAAACCGGAGCGGGAAGTGTTAATTATTCTTCCAACCTTAAAGCCACTTAAGGAGGAATATAACCGGATTGTAAGGGGTTAATGGAGATGCGTTCCATCTCTGCTCTGCTTTGTGTAGCTTCAGGAAATCTAAAAAATGAGCTTATAACATATTTCCCTTGGAATGCATTCAGCTACTTTAAAAGTCACTGACACATAACTGAGGAAGACAATCACTCCCCCTGCCTGTGTTCTTGTATAAAAAGGTGAACTAATCTAGGTCAAGCATCGCCTAAGCACAGAGCCTTTGTAGCTGCTCTATTTTTTTTACACTAAATGGAATGAATCTCCCTTCCAGCACCACCTGGCTCAGTAACTTGCACTGTACTGCAGAAAAAAAAGAATCTAACCCCAAAGTATTTCCTCCCGCAGTTCAATATTTGAGATGAGAGATGGTCGGCGTAGTGACTAATGACAGTTGATTTAAGAGGCCCGGAGTGCTTCTAGACAGTAAATAGAGGTGTGTGCTCCCTCTTAACGAGAGTCGCTTCCTCTGCTCTCCTTGTGCTCGGACGACTGTGTTTTCAGTCTGATACAGAGTGTATTCAGACAGACCGTATGAGAAAAATAATGTTTTGAACATTAAATCATGTAAAGATGATGTATGAATGTGAAAATGAACATCATACTTCCCTTTTTAAATACAAAATCTACCTCTTTTAGAATAACTGCTACTACCACGGGGAAGTGCAGGCGCATCCGGACTCCGATGTCACCCTCAGCACCTGCACAGGCCTTCGGTAAGAAACATAAGCATCATTTTGTATTCAAGCAGCATCTCAACGCTGCCCTTTAAGCGCTATTTGCCGCTGCAATGTTTGTATTTACTTAAGTCACTCTGCACAGCAGCCCATTGCTCTTTAGCCCCTTAAGCCCGCTGTCAGTAAGTTGGTGTGTGACTCGTAGGAATTGGAGGAAATGTCACGCCTCATTGTCTTTGTCCACAGAGGCATCCAGTTAATATCGTTTTGGCAGTAATTGGCTTCTTGCTGCTGCTAATGACCGCAATGTCATCTCCTGCTTAATTATACAGCAAGGAAACATTTTTGGAAACAGAAAGTGTTTAGTTTGCCATTTTATCAATGCGATAGCTGACGGACAATTTAGGAATACTAATGATCTGAAAAATGAGATTATTTCAGCGACAAAGTGCACATAAAGAAGGCTGAAGAACTTTGTGAATTTTATGGAGCTTTTGTGCATAAAGCCACGAGGAGCTCTAATGATCACAAGGTCAATGTTTAGAAGCTCTGTGTGGCTTGGCCCTGTTGTCAAAATACAATCTTTTATAGTTTGACTCCAGTAAAAGTGAGCCTGTAGAAAGAAAGTGCCACCTGAATTGTAGCATATTCCATTAGAGGTGAGCCACATTCAGTCAAATTGTGGGTTTGGGTGACTGGTTATGCTTTCAGGCTTTGTTTTCAGACTTGCTCTGCTGTCTCTGCAGAGGCTTCATCGCACTTGTAAACAAGACATTCATCATTGAGCCGGTATCGGGACATGACACCGGTGCCCACTCCATCTACCGGGTGGAAGAACTCACAATGACCCCAGGAGCCTGCGGCCATGGCTTCAACATGTCCTCTGTTGCCCCTGAAAACCACATCAAAAGCCCCTTTCAGTCCTTCCACACAAGGGTGAGATTTGTATTATGTTTTTTTATTGCAGAAGCTGTATTAGAGCTATGGATATGTGGATATCACACTCCAAAACTACATAGTCATGAAGCTGAGCAGATTTTTTTGCTGTATTTAATTGTCAAATATTTCTGAAGGGTGAGGCTAACACTCACTTGATGAAACATAAATGGGCGTTTGACCAAAGATCAGCAAACTGGCAAGTAGACCAGTTTGGATAAGTTCCCAGAGGGTGTTGCCATGAGCTTGACACATTTTATCTTTGCTTAGAGCCCAAAGTAGAGGGACCATGCAGGTTTGGCCAAGGATTTGCATGGAGCAGGTGCAGCATCCATCTGCCACTATTCCCAAGCATTAAAAACTCCATTTGAGTCAGGAAGTAAAACGTACCAACATGCAGTACTTAATGACCCCTGAGTAATATCTGGGCGTTGCAATTTGAGAAGAGCATCAGTTCTGCCTTAGCAGACGGGTTATTTGGGCAAAAAGATCAATGAATATGGCCATATGACCCGGCATGCTTTGTGTAATGTCCTGGGAAACGAGATAGAAATGCTGCTGGCTTCGCAGTAGCTTTTAGGGAAACTTGCCTATTTACTCACTTTCTTGCCAAGAGTTAAATTACACAATTATGTCTCATATCTGTATGTTAAATATGAATCTACAGCTAACAGTCAATTGGCTATTTCCAAAAGTAACAAACTTGGCCTACCAGCATATCTAAAGCTTACCAATTAAGTTTTTTTATTACAAAAACTGCTATTTTCCAGTGCTTGAAAAAGTACCCATACCATACTTGGTAGGCCAAGTTTGTTACTCTAATTAAGGAGGAAGAAGTGGGCAAAAGTCCTTGAAAAACATTTTCTTTAACAAATCTCAAAATATTTCTAACATGCAGCATTTCTGTTTGTTCCTTCAGCATAAAAGGTACGCTCAGAAGACAACCAAGTACGTTGAGCTGATCATTGTTGCAGACAACAGAGAGGTAATGCAACATTTCCAAATAGAGTGTTTGAACAACAGACAACTACACACTGACATTAGAGCAACCCTTCATGTTATAAGCAGAAGGAAATCAGGGTACGCTGTAGTAACTGTAGAGCGGATCCCACTGAGGCTGCTGAATTAGGTCAGTGTGCAACAAGCAGTGTGGTCTTGTGGCAGAGGCTCCGTTTTGACAGGAAGTGCTGAACGATTCCCCAGCCGGCCGGACAGGAAACCAGAAAAAGCGGTGTGGATACAGAAGAGTCTCCCATAAGCACTGACAAGCTCATTGTGGGGTTTTTCTCCTAGCGGCCCTCTGCTAATGCCCCCGACCTGAATGGAAAGCAAAAGGAAATAAAGAAAGAAACAAAAGGATAATAGGGGATCAAGTACGTTGTTGAAGTCCAGCACCAGCGCAGGTGGATTCACAGTAGGGTAGGAATAGTAAGTCTGACTTTGCTGCAGTTTGGATCAAAAGCTTTGCCGGCTGTCAGATCTGCCAATACACCTGCTCCCTGTGGCCTTGCCATTTGTCTCTCTAACACTAGGAGATTTTTCTAGATCCAGATGGTCACAGCTTGACAAGCTGCCTAACACTCAGGAAAACGTATTGCCTTTGTGGGTGTCCTGTGTTCTTTCATGCTTTTTAGTTCTGAAAATGACTGTAACTACGGTGTCATTCACGTCCTCATCAGCGTCTCTACTTCTGGGTGTAAATGCTCCTTTTTCATCACATTTTTGTTTTCCAGTTTCAGAAACAGGGGAGGGACGTGGAAAAGGTGAAACAGAGACTGGCAGAGATAGCCAATTACGTGGACAAGGTAAAACAACCTCTCCCCGTTTGCACAGAAGGGATAAATCACTTTATTTAAATAGAAATATTACTGGCAGCAGAGATTAATGGGTTGACTGTGTGATATATTAATATCCCACGAAAACAGCTGCTTTCAGTTTGTCCAGAACCTCTTCTAGCTATGGATCTATAGCTAGCAGATGCAGTGGGCAGATGGATTTACTTAAGGGAGGCATAGATAAAGACATGAAGAAGACATGCACTGATCAAGTGAAAAACATAAAAAGAGACGCTCTCATGCACATAGGAACTTTCATTTAATAGGGACATGGATGTATAATAAGAACTGGATACCAGACCCCAAGATGGAGCCTATTCAATCCAGTCGCTCTCCACCCACATATGACAAAAAGTTGTAAGAAAGGCTGAGCGGCTGTGCGTATCCAGTTCTTACTCTACGGCCATGACTCAGGGCTGCCATACTAAGAAACCAAAGGTGAAAGTGTCTCACACATCTTTTTGAAAGTCTTTGATCATTCACGTAACCTAAACTCTATAGCTCCTCTGGCCTTTTCTATTCCACACTGACTCCCTGCTCATCAACAGTTCTACAGGGCCCTGAACATCCGGGTGGCTCTGGTGGGTCTGGAGGTGTGGAGTGACTCTGATAAATGTCCCATCACCCAGGATCCCTTCTCCACCCTGCACGAGTTCCTAGATTGGCGGAAAGTCAAACTGCTGCCCCAGAAACCTCATGACAATGCTCAACTGATAAGGTGGGTATTGAGCCCAGTGATGTTATTGGTACACACGATAACCGACCCTTAAAGGGCCATTAGCTACTATGTCACTTATAATTTACATTAGTGCTAACCATTTCCCAGAAGATACCATGGGTTTTTAATGCCCAGTCAGCCATTGTTCCCCATTAATTAACTAGACTATGTGGTTACCTGGAGGTTTATTTATTGTTTAATTGGATCTCCAGTAGCTGCCATCTTTGCAACTACTCCTCCTGGGCTCCATATCAGAATATACAGTAAATACACACCCTTACATGATTCTATATCAAACCAAACATCTGACAATAAAAAGATTAAAATGATAATACAATCACAACTCAAAGATCTTATCTCGTTTATTACTGTTATAGAGCTGCCTTCAAAAATACCCACTCATGTAAAATATGGCTCTGTATATTAAATTTCCATGCGTTTATCTTTGGTTGAGCTAGCATTATGAAACCTCTCCTCGCATGTGGATACTTCCAGAATATAGTATTTTTAAGTGTAGATAATAATATGGTTGTTTTAAAACATATTGTATTTCCAAACATCTGAACCTGGTAGGAAGTTGGTGTCAACAATAAACACGTTGTGGGTGACAAGCTGAAGAAATGCACAACAGCTGTTATAGTGCTGTAGATCTGAGCTCTTTTCTCGTACGGTGTCCTTCCCACCCTGCTTCTGTCCTTTGCAGCGGGGTTTACTTCCAGGGCACCACCATTGGCATGGCGCCCATTATGAGCATGTGCACAGTGGAGCAGTCCGGAGGCATTGTCATGGTGAGTATAAAAAAATATCCTTGCTGCTCCCACCCTCCTCTTCCCTTATGTAGCCAGATTGTATCAGTGTAGACATTGTTCAGATTCAGCAGGCTAACACAATCCAGACAAAAAAGGTGTTTTTTTTACTGTTTGCTGGCAGGAAGTCATGCTTTTAAACCCTAATAATATTTGTGCTGGCACTCCCTCAACATTCACGGTCTCATCAATACCACAAAGGAATATGTAAAAAAAATGTGCTATCAGAGGGATACGCACCCTCCTTTCTAAGGTCATTTGAAGTCATCCCATCATTCCATCATGCTGTCTAAATGGCTCGGTGGGGCCGAGAGGTAAATCAAAGGCCACATTGTTTGAACAAAATCACATTTACATTTTTATTAGATGTGATAAATTGTTTATACCAACTCTCACAGAGCCCACATTTTATTATTTTTTTACACTCAACTGTGCGTCACCCCTGGTACACAAAAATGATTGTACATAGTAAATTAGCTGCCTGTCGGGTGCCTGATGTAGCACTTGATACCCATGCCAAATCACAAAGTGGATATCAGCCCAGTGCCGATGCACCAAGTCCAGATGTGTATCCCCACCATTAATAGATATGTTTTCTGCTCCAGATGTTTGTCTTCCCCATTACTTACAGATAGCAGATGGTTTGGCCCGAGATTAAAGGGCCATGTAACCAGTTAGAGGGCGGCCAGATGACAGGAACCATTTCTCAAACCATACACCGCCATGTGTTAATCAGCCTCAAGTCCTATATCTGGTCCACATGTTCCTCCAGTGTAAACGACATAATGTTACTCATTTTGCCATTAAACTCACATGAGTCTTTAAATGTGAATGGTTTGGTTTAAACTGTAACAGTGAACAATATCCCCCTGTTTTATTATGCGGTATTCTGCACAAAGTTACTTTCTCACATGGTCGGGAAAATGATCAGAAAGATTATCTGAGCGTTTCTTGTAACCGACACTATCAAATGCTCACTATCACAACAATGGCTGAATAGCTGCTTCAAAAGAAATGACTGTGGCTTCTAAGAGTTTCATCCATTTCTGCTGACTCTGATATAACTTTAGTTTTATTTTTGTGAGGAGGCACGAATTGCACACACACACACACACACACATTGAGACACACGCTGATAAACATGACTGTAGCAGAGGAAGAAGTTTTCCCATCCCTCTTGTTAGAAGGCCGGGTGCATCTCCCCACGATGCTGCTCTGTAATCACAGTAGAAAATAGCTTGACTTGCCTTCAACTTTGACTTATGACCCAGTTTTCAAAGGAAGCATGTGTTTCTCACGGTGAAAAGATTTGAATACTGCAGTAAGATATACTGAAGCTACGTCGGAGAGAGGTTACCAGGTTTGCTGAATCATGCACGTTATTGAGAATGTAGCATATAACCAACATGCCACCAGTTATACAGCATTTATCTGTCGTAAGGCTGGAACATGCTTTTCTGGTCTAAAGTACAGGGGGGCTACTCACAGTCACAGATGTTCGTGTATGGATTAAGATAACCGGCTGCTGACAGCAGCTTCGTACATGAGATTGGTATCATTCTTCTGATCTAACTCTCTGCCAGAATGTGAAGAAGCAAAATGTCACAATAATGTCAATGTCACAAAAAAAGATAAGAATATGTGTCCGATATCAATGTGGGAAATGTCTGCAAAATCACACGTAAAGTGTGTTTAACTGTGTTCCACTGTTACGTATTAAACACTTTAACACCTCATTTTGTGTACCTTTTAATTACAATTTGTCCACAATAATTGATTCAAACAGTGGTATGTAGCTGTTGAAACACAATGATCATTTTATCCCGAGACGATTCTATTGGAAGTTGATGGGGGACTATAATTATGTCATTCATCCTTATCCGTTTGTCCCTTTTCCAGTCTCACCTTGGCATACACACACATACAGAACTACATTGACTTCCTTTCTCAGTCACCCTTCAAACTCCCCCGTCTCTATCTGTCTCCCGACCCGTCTGACTGCAAACCTTCCACCTCTCCCTCGTCATTCTCCATCTCCGGCTGCCTTGTGAAGTGCAGTTTTCTTGCTTATCAATGCAGCAGCGAGTCACACGGAGCTAGGTTTGTGGAGCCGACTGCAGTCGCTGTCTCTACTAGCGGCGGCTATGATTGGGTCTGCAGGGGTAATGGAATGGCAGATGAATTCAGGCCTCCGTGAGGAGAATGAGTAATAGAAGAATGATGAGGTGGCAGATTGGACGGTTACCCAACTGTTTTGGGAATCTGCTGCTTAAAAATTGTCTTCTTTGAGTTTAGTTTTCTTTTTTTCCCTCTTCTCTTCTCTTTTTTTTGTGAGTAACAGTGCACTTCAGTATGGCTTGGCTCAAAGCTTACTCAAGTAACTAGAGGTGGAAAATTAATTTAAATTTGAACAAAAAATCGCAACATGGCCTACTGCAATTATCAAATCTCGGGACGCACAATATCTGTTAATGGCGAAATGCGTGTCAAAATAAATAGTGTGGTGCTGCACAGAGGTCCTGTCCTACACAGCGTATTCTCCAGACTTAAGAAAACATCTTTGTTTGGTACAGATCCCTGCAAAAATCATAATGATGTAAAAGTTATAATTACCTCTAGTATTGTCATTACAGATGACTAACATGTTCTCATGTTCCGGTGTGTCCCGTTGCAGGATCACTCCGAGAACCCACTGGGGGCAGCGGTGACTTTGGCACACGAGCTCGGACACAATTTTGGGATGAACCACGACACCCCAGAGCGCGGCTGTGGCTGCAGGATGACCGTTGATCGTGGAGGCTGCATCATGACCCCCTCCACGGGGTGAGATTCTGTCTTTTTTCATACAAAACTGTATCCATGTTGAGAGTACGAGCTTCACGATTTAGTAGACAAATGTGATATTAGCGTTTATACTGCTGGACTATTTAAAAACATTAGCTCAAAGGTTTAAAATCAGGACTTTAGGCTGTTTGTCTCTGTTGTGGGTGCAATGATTTATCCTTTAAAAACCTTGTTCCACACAGCTAAGAGATTCAAACGTCTGCCATTGTAACTTTTCTTAATGAATTCGGACATCTCTTCTTACTTATACAGTCAAAAAAAGACAGCTCTACAGGTTGGATCATTTTCATCCGTCCATCGTTTGTGTTGTTGAGCGAGAGGAGGCTCAGACACACACACACACACACACACACACACACACAGTTTGGCCTGAGACTAAAGCAGCTGCTCTAGCATTCTGCTCGTGTTGCCTGGGATGCTGAGATAACGCCGCTTCTGCAAGTGATGGACTCTGTGACTGTTAGTAAACAGCAAGCCGATAAGGCGAACCCAGAGCGCAATACCAGATTTCACTTCTGGTCCGGTGCCAGTCTGGTTTGTCTGATGAGGAATCCTGCAAGCCACCGATGAATGTGGTCAGGAACGATTCCACGGCACAAAGACTAAAGGCTGAAAGACACAGTTGCTATTGAGTTTTTCAAAATACAAATCAAAGAAACCGCTCACACGGACCCACCCACCACACACAGACCAACATCAACCCTAGCTTACATCTGTCTCACACATTAACAATCACGCTGGGGTTAAATCATGCTGGTGGTCGATGATTTATGAGGCTACATCGACGAATCGTCCAGGGATCTGTATCAAGATCGTCTAAGTATGTTATGCGTTTAAAATAACTATCGGCTGATGAATATGTGTGGATGAAAGACAGATGACAACAGGCTCAATGTATAGAAATGTAGAAACGGGGAAATATAGTTGTTAGCGGTCTATTTTGTATTAGATTAACAAGAATCTTAAAAGTCTTACAAGCTGACTTTGTTAGAGCAATGAGCAGATACATAACATTAAACATATTAAAAGTAGACTTTAGTCATTTTCTTAAATCAGCAGAGAGACACGGTAGAAGAAAACCACAGTTGTGAGTTCAATTCTTTAAAAATGCCACGAATCCAGAACAGAAAGCACATCAATAATGTAACATGTAACTATCTACGGACATGTCGGTCCATGACGTGTCCCAGACAAACTAGAATGACCTTTCACAGTACAAGTAGAACACAGGGGGGGCGGGGACTGTCAAAAACTCTGCTTGTTTTTGAAGCCGCTGGCACTTGTGAGCTCATCCTGCTGTACTCGTGTTCTATTTTACACCACTGGATTTATGCAGTGCAGTATTAACATATGCACTCTGCATAGAGACATGACGACTTTGCTTTAGCTCATCGCCGGCCCAAAGATGTCTAAATGATGTCATGCGGAGCTTTTAGAAAAATGACTGCATGATCTACAGAGATGAAAAATGGGTCACGCTGTTATTGAATTCTTTGCAACAGAATAGGTTTATGAAGCACCGTCGCTTCTTTTAGGCAGTGTCTGCTGTATGATTATGAGAGCGGACACATTAATAGTTGAGAGAAGGTCATTAGTGACCTTTCATTCTGAAACTCGCTCCTCCATAATCAATGAGATAAATCCATACACAGCGGGACACGCTGACATTTTGCCTGGCAATATTCTCCGATTCCAAGTATCAATATTTCCTTATTTAATTATCAATATTTGAACTGTGCATTGCTCACTGCAGTCTGTATGTTTGTACTCAGTGAAGGTGATTAATGGAGCTCACTGATTTACAATCAAGTCAACGAACTCAGCATTTCACTTCATAGCATTTCTGTTAACCAGCCGTTTCATTTTCAACTCTAGTCCTTTGACAACATGTCGGACAGTGAATCCACGGACCCGTCACGTCTTTCAGCTCATTGTTTTGGTTTTTGCGGTCCATAACTTTACCGTTTTGGTTGTCTTCCAAGAGGCCAAAAAAAAATCAATTGATACTGCTTTAAACTCATAAATCTCACATCTCCTTCCTTTGTTTTGACGTTTGATGTTAAGGGTAAGATCAACTGTGTTGTCTAGAGTAACAATGTTGTTGTAGATGATATCAGTCAAACTGTGAGCCAAGCTCTTAGTCTGAAGTTTTCATGGTAAAAATTCCAGCTTAAAAGATGAAAAGTATGACTTTAGCCAAGTTCAAGCTTGACATAGCCAGTTATCTCCCAAATAATGAATTTCCTGAACTATCGTCCCAAATTCACAGTTTCCTGTTCACAAAACCAATAATTTCATAAACCAAATCTAGAACTCATTTCCCCAATCACAGATCTGATTTCTTTATTTTATATACATATATATTTATATATATAAATATATTAGCATCTTCCTTTGACCCTCAGCACAGATGCCTTCAGAATGTTAAACACATTGTTGTAAGGCGGTGTAGCTCCTTTGACTGTGTGTTTGGAATATTCCCAGCTTAGACTTGCTAATGGAGGAGAGGACGGGCTGCATCCAAATGACGTGATTATCAGTGTCGCTGCCAGCTGCAATCAGGGGCGGGGGTGCACCGAGGATGAGAGGCGCTTTATGCCTGGATGGACAGGCAGAGCGAGGAAGCGCTGGCTTTATTTGTCTTTTATCTCCCTCAGTGGTGGAGCAGGAAGAGAAACACAAAGAGAGATAGCGGTGGGATTGAGAGACAAACAGGAGAAAGATGACATTGAAGGTATTGTTTAGGTACACATGGACGTCTATGACAGGCGTGTGAGGCCGTGAAGTCTGGCCACGAGAGATTTCATAACAATGAGGGGAAATTTGAGGGACAGGGGGGGGCGAGGAACAAAGTTGGACATTTTGGAAGTGGGATTTCTTTTGGAAAGTTGAGCTAAGAGTTGCATCATGTGATCGTGGGCAGAGGGCTCAAAAGCACTTTCCTGTGTCTGTACGTGTTACCGGGAAGAAAGGTGAAGCCCAGCAGGGAACTGTAGCTGGACTTTGAGGCCAAGAGGTGAATCTTTCCTTTTGTCAACAGAGTATGAAATGGCTTGTGAGTCTTGTTATTTTCTCGTGGAAATGACAGAGTGCAGGTGAGGTGAGGAGGTACAAAATGCCATAATCTGAAGACATTCTGCTGAGGAGAAGTGGGAGAGAGCTAGTTAGCTCGCCGGTGTGTAAATGTTTACAGTGAATTTAGCTGGTGTTTTGCTTTTCCTTCCTCATATTTAATCAGCGAAGGCTCCTGCCAGTGTTGCAGCCTAACATTTACCTAAAGGTCAGACATGACTCTCCTGCTTAGCTTGGACTAAATGCATGTCGGTCTCTGGAGCAGCTTAGAGAGCAGAAGAGACAGCTTGATGTCAGCCAGAGAGCCTACAAATAGAAAAGCCCTCCATAGCCCTCATGTGACCAACGCGTCTACTGTTTCGTCCTCGTCTGGAACCGCTGGCCTCACGTGCCGAGAACATCAAAGTGACAGGAGTCATCTGCACGGCACGTATGGATTTAGATCTGGGAAAAGCTGCCTGGTGCACAAGGAGACTGTTTCTCTGCATCTCAGGACAGTGTAAGGGCTCGGGCAGATGTTTTTAACCGAAAGGATATCTTTATGTTGTTTTTCCTCTTTGTTATCTTTAATTTTGTGAAATTAAAAGTATTTTTACTGTCCATTATCTGAGAATGAAGGCCTCCAGTCATCATTACGAATGTATAGGCTCTATTACTACAGTATAAGTATGTCCCTGTTTTGTTTATCATGTGTGGATTCGATCGCACATATGTGTGTGTGACGCGATACTCATTCCTGCCACTGGTGTCGATGGCGGTAATGTGCCAAGATATGCAACAATACGCCAACAAAGAGAGGGAAGAAGAAGCCTGCACGCTAGTAAACATCGATGAAAACAATGCTGGATTCAAAATACTTTTTTTATTGGCTTTCAAATGTTTTTTGAGTAAGGCAATCAATTCAACAGGTTTTTTTTTTATAGCTTAAGGATACATGCAATGCTTTGTGGTGAGTAACACTAAACACTGAAACAAACTTTTTTTTGTATATAAGAGAACTCCAGGGCAGCCCTTTAACCACATCCCCCTTTCTAAAACAAATCAACAGACATGGCAACATGGTAGAGGGTAGAATGACAATGGCCATGTTTGATATCTTCTATTAGGTTTCCCATAGAGATGTGCGGTAAAAAGCATGTTGTTTTCCTCTGTTTCTGTGATTTGGCAGCTACACTCACCGCACCAAAACATTTCCCTCCGACAGTATCACAGATGTATGAGGCTGTAAGATGCCGTGACATATTTGCCTTTCAAACATTGCCAACAGACATAAAGGAGCTGACTGAGAATAACTTTTGTGCTCAGACAAATTAGTTCCACCCCAGCAAACTCCACCTGGAGAGGGTGCAGGGCTTTATGCTAATATTATCTAGGGAAACCTACACTCTCATGCTCTGCTCATTTCCTGAACAGTAGAGCAGCCGTGTGGTCTCAGCTGTGATACAACAGAGCATTGTCTACTGCAGACTGATGCTGATTTACGGTGCGTCTTTCTGTAGGTTTATCGAAAAAAACTCCTTTTCCTGGTGGTGTCAAGTTGATCGTGGACTTTTTAGCCTTTTCATTTATTTTGACTGAGATATTGCCCTTAAATACAGGGCAATATCTAGCTGTTTCAATCTAGCTGTGGTCTCGCTGAAGGTACACAATTTAACTGCATACAAACAAAAGAATACTACAGGCCCTGATAACCATGTTTTCCAATTTCATTTTTACTATGAGTGATGGGGTCCTACATGACAACAGCATTTCTGCCAAGGTTGGAACAGCTTTGACAGTTTTATGGTATATTACAGTTCACCAAAAAGCCGATGTCCTGTTGCATTGCTCATTGCACTTAAACAGTCTCCATCCTTCCACAGTCAGCGTCTGCATCACAAACCAAGTGAACAGTAATTTAATGTTGTCTCTTCCTGTTCCTATAATGTCATTTCCATCCTCCTACTGAAAGCCCCAGACATTTGTGCTCATCAGTGTCTGAACAGTAAGCTCCTGTGGTGTATCTGCTCATTGTCGTAAAGAACTGAACCAGACGGTGGATGACTTAGAAGCTATTGGAAGATATTCTTGCAGTGTCCCCGGACCCCTCGTGAGGCTGACACTGCACCTGTTACCAGGATGGAGTGGGCACCTGTTACCTGGAGGGACGTCGGTGGCGAGTTAGCGGTGCGGCTGATTTATCAAAGCTATATTCATACACAGTCAGTGGTCACATTGGATATCAGTTAAAGAAAGTTAATTTCGATTTAAATTGGAATGGAGTCTTGGCTCCCGCCATGGCTCTTTTAGGTTCCCTCTGCTACAAATTGTCAAGCATATAAATGACAGAGCACATCTTAATGGCTCACTGTGTTGAATTGGTTTAAAATGTAATTTCACTCGTTCAAAGACCAATCAGTAATATCGCATTACTTTCTCATTTTTTGGGAGTCGGCTTCACTCAACTTTGGCATTTGCTAGCATATTTAGTTCTAATTTTACATCGTGAATCATAAAAGAGGGCTGTAGAGTATAACTGTGATAGTGAACACATGCTTGGACAGGTTAACCCTGAAAATAAAGTGTGCTTTTGGTTTATGCTGAAAGTGTTTCAGAAGATAAATCATTCGATAGTCTGCAAAAGAGAGTTCACCCAAAGCAAAGGCGTAAACGTAGCAATGAATCTGTGTTGTTTTCAACAGACATGTATCCATTGGATCTTGTTAATACTTTTCATGTGGGTCGAATTTGGTGCAAAGAAACCGGATTTTCCTCGGTGACGATGTCTCCAACTGACAACCGTCCCAACCTTTACCATTAATGCCACTTTATTGAGAACAGACTTAGTTTACCCCTCACACATATTCCAGCCCCTCATGCAGATCCCAAAGCACGCCAGTGTTTTGTTATCCTTGATTTTGTGCTGGAGTCTCCACGCAGAGGGCAGCAATGCTGTTTCTGTGTGTGTGTGTGTTACGGTGGTAAAAAAAAAGACTCTTAACAAGTGGATTATGGGAGCAGAAGGGGACAGGCAGAAACAGGTAGATTGGCTTTTGGTTAATGAGAGATGAAAGCAGCTGACACTCAAAGGTGGACAGTCTGAGTGAAGTGGATGCAACGCTTTCACCCAAGGGTGGCTGTTGGAAGAGGATGTTTTTCTGTGTTTTATGTTCTCTGGAATTCTGTGTTCTCTTCAACAACAAAAAAAAAGCGGATTTATTTTCCGTTGAATGCCTCCATCGTTATCTCCAGTCACTACAGTCGGCTTCACTGTAGTTTCACTAACGGCAGTGAAACATCCATGCAGTTGCAGCAGCCAAATCCCCCTCAGGCAAAGGCAAAGCATCACATACAAACCTCCCTCTCTGTCCCACGAACAACGACTGTGTAATGTCGAATTTTCACAAATGTGCCCCATCAAGCTTTGCAGACTCGCCGTGTTGCGTTCGGAGACCCCCAGTCGGTCTACTGCTGCATAAGTACGTGTATTCACGTCTGATGTAAAGATTTTCAAGTATCCGATACCAGCTGACTCTGTGCCACGTCTGCCCATCTTCTCTGATGGCCGTAGCTCCTCCTTTTGAAGCTCGGCTGGGTCCCATTGTGCCCGTGTGAGCTAAAGCCTGCTTTTCTGTGTCAGATCGTCTGTGAGGCTGCTCTTGTGTGTTAGCTGGCATGAAGCACGATGTCAGAGGGTTGGTGGAGTCGCTATTGTGCACTGTGTTGTAGTTCTGTATGTCCTGGGACTTGTGCGTCATGCTGCCTGTAGGTTAAGCTCAGCGGCGGGTTTAGACGCGTTTTAAAGGAGGGAACCAGATTGTGGCATGGTTTAAAAGTTACATTGTTGATTCAGTGTGAGAAATGAATGCCAAATAAACAACGTTATTATTATACTACTACTACTACTATTCTAATATGAAATACTGCCAATAGATAGCTGTTATTTGTAACTCCAAATGTCCTACAGTCATGGATCGATTATGAGACAAAGGGTCCCTGAACACAGAAGTGTAAAAGTCCCCCCATCCCACCCACATAGGAGAAGGACATCCAGACTGAAAGAGACACAAAACAACTGCAATCGAAGGCTTCACGTCTCTTTGAAGGCATTTTGCGTTTGTGGTTGTATTACTTCACTTTTTGGTTGTTTAGGTTAAGCAGTCAATGATTAGGTTCCTCCCTTTCTCCCTTGCTTTTAGCCTTTTTGTACCTTTTTGTTGTTGTTGTTTTTGCACCTCTTTCTGATAGTTTAGGGGCCCCGGGCACCCTTCTGGCCCCACATCTAAAGCAACAAGATTTATGCCATTAGCTTGGTGCATGATTATTTTTGTTTTTCACTCCCCCTCTCTCTCTCTCTCGCTCTCTCTCTCTCTCCCTATTTATTTTTGGTAGACTAGAAGCCCCCCCCCCCCCAGGCTTCACAGCTGTTAAAGGCATATCACAAAGTTTCATCTTTAAGTCATAAAATGTTCAATACAAAATCCAATTTCTTTCCTCACTAAATTAGACATTAGTCAGCCCTTCAGGTGAGCGATACCAGGGAGTGAAATTAATGTGTTAGAAATGATGTGGTTTTCGGTCTATCAAGGTTTCACGTACACACACACAAGTCATCCACATCCAACACACCCCTCCTCACGCTCTTCCCTCCAGTCAGTTGCTTAAAAATGGTCCCGGTGGTGCCGGGATATGGCTCCTGAAAATGTGGCTGCCAGGGAAAATGGTTCTCTAAACTTTTAAAGGCCGTTTAGGAACCAAGTGGGATTGGAAATCTTTTGACCTGGACCTCATGCAGTACAATGTTAGTAGACCATTACATTTGTGTGAAAAGGCCTCTTGAATGAGGACATCGAACAAAGGTTCCACTGAAAGCCTTGGTCCGTGTTCAGGCTGAGCAGAACGAGTCCACTTTTCTCCAGATCATTTTGGTTTCTGAACAGTAAAAGCACACGCTGCAGGATTTTTGGCACGTCACGCAGTCTTTTCATGTCTCTTTGTGCCTTTCATTTCAGTCAACCTTGGTCCTCCATTCTTCCCGTAGGTATCCATTCCCAACAGTGTTCAGTACGTGCAGTAAGAAGGACCTCGCTGCCAGTCTGGACAAAGGCGTGGGCATGTGTCTGGACAACATGCCGGAGGTCAAGGTGCTCTACGGTGGCCAGCAGTGCGGCAACGGCTACGTGGAGGAGGGGGAAGAGTGTGACTGCGGAGAGCCGGAGGTAAGACGGAGAACAGATGCCGTCATCTGGACTTGCTTCAGTGGAGTGGATCAGTCTCCTACTCTGTGGTTGTGCTGGGCAGCGCTGTGTAACTATGTCAAACAGTGCGGAACACAGAAAATGCTTTTGCTGGATAAACAAAAGTTAAAACAGAAAAGCAGTTCAGAAAATCAATATCATGTCTTTGGTGACTCAAGAGTCAGCGAAGTGTAGTTAATGTGATTCAGAACAAGTGTATGGGTGGTCCTTTCCCCAAATTTCCCAAACAAACGAGGCAGATTTTTTATTATGGTTCTTTATACTTACAGTAAACTGCCCCCTCAAATCTATATATAAATACTCCAATCTGAAGAAGAAAGGACTTTTCTAACTTAATACGCCCCTTACAAAATCTATTGTCTAAAGAGAACAACACTAACTGTCCTGTGAGCAATCATCCAGAACCACTGAATGTCTCAACAGCTCCCTCAGAGCCCCCAACAAACCACAACAAACTCCAAGTTGAACTTTCTGTTGACATTGACGTTGGGTTTTGGGCTTAAAGGCATAAAAAAACACTAAAAAAACTAAAAGCTCAGCAAATCACCCGAGGCCTCCATTATATGTGTTTTATTTACCTCACACCTTCTCTCAGTCTCCGAGCAGTGCTTTGACAGGCTGCCACGCTGGATGGCCCGCCCCTGTTGAAGGCCCATTAATCAAACCACTGTCCAACTGTGTGACAAAGGAAACAAACACAGATGTACTCGGGTCGAGGCTGAAATAAGCTTTCTTTGGCTTTGCCACCCGAAGAACTGGGCACGCTCCGATGCATGAATCCACCCACACGTACTTGGCTTCTGGCTCACACACAGCGTTAGGGTACCTTGGTAAAGGGAAGGGAAGTGAGAATCCCATGTGGGAAGGAAGCAGATCTCACTCAGGGCAGCTGTGTGGAGATTTGAAGATGAATATATCTATACTCAGAATCTCTTGAGGCTCATGGAGTTCCTGGAGAATTTTAGACTTTAGATAAAAAAATGCTTGTTTGTCCAGCCAACATTTAAAGCCTGTAAATATGTATTGGATTTTATGATGATATAAGACAGAGAAAAACAGCAAATCCTCTCATTTGAGAAGCTGGAACCACCGGACATTTGGCATTGTTGCTTGAACAATAACTTTTTAAAAGTTGTGATTGATTGTTTGAGCTCTACATCTGACACATATTCACATTGACCAAATTGATTATCTGCTTCTCAAATCTGAATCCATTTGAAGACGGACAGACAGACAGAGACAGAGAGAGAGACGGACAGACAGACAGACAGACAGACAGACAGACAGACAGACAGACAGACAGAGAGAGACAGACAGAGAGAGAGACAGAGAGAGAGACAGACAGACAGACAGACAGACAGACAGAGAGAGAGAGCGAGAGAGAGAGAGAGAGAGAGAGAGAGAGACAGTTGGAGCACAATCGCTTGCTGACCGGCACCGAGAAAAGGGCTTTTGTTGTGAACAGCCAGGCTAATGCTTGCCCAAAAAATTACAAATCTGGTTATTTTGCTAACAGAGAACCAGATCCTAAATGGACCAGAGTCCATAACAAAAACAGTGTTTACTAGAGCTTTGTTTCTTGAATAATAAAAAAGAAAGTGGGCATTTAATTTTCTTTTAATTTTGCTGAACTAATTCTTTAAACTGACTCAGCAAGGTGTTTGATTATTTAGTTACAGGGTGTCATGACGAGGTGCTCAATCATTTAAAGGCAACTTTAGATAATGTTTTAGTGGAGTCCCTGCGTTTGACCACCAACGGACCAAATGTATGATTTACCTTTTGCCCGCTCCGTCTCCGCCTGCTTGTCCCTCCGTAACCTCCACGATGTTACCTCAAAGGGCCTGCTTGTTTTTTTTCTGCCGGCCCACTTAAACCGAGAGATGGAACAACCTTTTTCTCTCCTCTCTAAACAACAGGCTTATGTCAGGGCCAAGAGGTAAACAGCCAAACCACACGTCAACTGAAAATTACACGTCCTCCCAAAGCCAGTTGCCTCCAGTTCCCAGCCCTCAACACATCGTGTCATTACCTTAGAGCCCCACGAGCGAAACAGCCCCGCTGAGAGAAGATAAATGATAGCGAGGGTTGTGTTCTGCGTGATAGTGCCGTGTGCGAAACTACTCGGGAAAACAAAGCTGATGTGTTTTGGCATCTAATAAAAGATAAACATTGCAACACCCTCCCTGAAGTCTTTTACAGCATGACTCCTCTTTCGACTCCTCCTTATGTATCCTCTCTCTCAGCTTTCTGCCAGCAGCCAGCTGATCTTGTCATTATGTTGAAGTGACTACAATCTCTGCCTCTTAAGGGCTTTCAAATCCCACTCCTGCCCCTGTCCAATATACCCTAATAGTCGACTCTGCCACAGTTTTCCACTATCTACATCAAATCAGAGTTGAAGATCTTAGCACACACCCTCACAACTGCTAAACACAATTTCTATCGTTTGCTCCTCTGCTTCATGGCTTCCCACTATTTTAACCCCGCATGGGTCATCATTACACACACTCCTCTTTGAGTCTAAAGGTCTCCAGAATTCCCAAATCCAGAACACATGTGCTTCGGTAAAAATGTCTTCATTCAAAGGTCTCTGGGTCAGAGAAGAATGGGCGGGAATCCCCGGACAGGAAGTCCACTCCTTTGACCTGGAAGTCTTGATCTGACAGGGAACCAGCTGGGAGAGAATCTCCTGAGCGGTGATCGGCTCCACATGTGGTTAACTATTTTCTTTTTGTTTCCCTTATCCCAGGAATGTATGAACCCATGCTGCAATGCCACCACATGCACCCTCAAGGGAGACGCAGTGTGTGCACACGGACAGTGCTGTGAAGACTGCAGGGTAAGACGTTTCATGCAGGCAGTCTTTCTCACTCATTCTTCTTCCACTTTAGAGCTTTTTATGCCATTTTGAATGCCCTTTTCACATTTTCATAGCTGAAAAAGTTCTGAAATTGTATTTTTTCTGGTCCTCTGAATATTACACAAACCATTTTTCATTGCAAATCCAAGATCCAAAACTTTCTAAAATCCCGGTTATGTTACTAAAAGACTCATAATAGTGTCCCCTTGTGTATAATTCTATATAGAATACAGATTTCCATTTTAAGGCAATTTACCTGTACTTAATACAAAAATTAATAATCAATTAAAAATTATGATAAATGATTTTGATCATAAATTATGTTGGAAACCAGACATAAATATTGTAAAAGCAAAATAGTCTAAAACCAGTGCAATATTATACAAAACTAAAGATATTCTGACCAACATTAATCCTATCTCAAACTAACCAATGCGTTACTTATTAACTTACATATTTAAAAATGTTCTATCTATTGGTCTTAAAAGCACAACAAAGTTTGCCTCCTAACTGCATTCAGAGGTTGTTTGAAATTGGAGGGAGCCTGTATACATTTTAAAACGATGAATTAAAAATGTGTAGTTCACTTTGCAAATTAAAAAAAAAAGCAGACAACTTGTCTGTTGTTTTCCATTTAATGTAATGCCTTATTGTTATGCATTTATTTTTATGTGTATTCTTTTTGGAAAATTGTCTTTAAATATCGAATAGTCCTGAAGTGGAGGTACTTCTGTGGGAAGTCAACACCAAACAATATAACATCAGCAGTGGATATGAAACAATGGGATGCCATTACAAATACCGCATTGCTGCTTTATTCGTAACAGTCCTGAACAGAACACTGCACCAAAGACAGGGACTTTAAATGACAGACGAAGTCAGTCATGTTGCAGATTCTATGTCTGAAAGAGCTTACTGTACTGTACTCTACTGTACTGTATGTGTCCACAGCTGAAACCGGCTGGCACCATGTGTCGGGAGACCAGTAACTCCTGTGACCTGCCAGAGTTTTGTACCGGTGCCAACCCTTACTGCCCAGCCAACGTGTATCTGCATGACGGGCACGCCTGCCACAGCGTCGAAGGCTACTGCTACAACGGCATCTGCCAGACTCATGAGCAACAATGCATCACCCTGTGGGGACCAGGTAAATCAATGGCTGCCAATAAGATGGACCGTGTACATCCTTCACTTCATTTTGGTGGTTATATTTTGTATTTTGCTCTTTTTTTTTCGTGTAGGAGCCAAGCCGGCCCCTGGGATATGCTTCGAGAGAGTCAACTCTGCAGGGGATCCTTACGGCAACTGTGGGAAGGACTCCAAAGGCTCTTTTGCCAAATGTGATGCGAGGTAAGACTCTGCAGCTCCACTGATGTGGTGGAGGTGCAGGGAAATGACTGTGCAAAACACAACTGATTAGCTTAAGTGGTGTCATTAGCAATCTTCATTACGTGGTGGAATTTGACATGTGATCTTCAAACAAAAGTTTACATGGGTGAGAAATGTAATTTGAGGAAGATAGCAGCTTATTACGGTCTAGGAGAGTGTTCATGAATCATTTCATGCTATTCTTGTCGGCTAATTGTTCTAAAGACCTTCTATCTTTGGGTGAATTCTGTAATCAAGCTCTTTGCTAACTGATGTAATTGCTTTAATGACCGGAGGACTGAAGCACTACATCTCTCTTCAGCCGTCTTTCATCAGTCCGTACAGTTACTTATCTTTGTCCGTGACTGACAGGCGTTGATGTGTGAAACTTAATTGATTAAGCGTTTTCATAACGTGTCTTCCAATGTTTGTGCATGTGTGTGTTTCCGTTTGTGTGTGTGTGTTTCATGCAGGGATGCAAAGTGTGGTAAAATTCAGTGCCAGGGAGGAGCCAACCGGCCAGTGATCGGAACAAACGCCGTTTCCATCGAAACCAACATCCCACTACAGGAAGGAGGGCGCATTCTGTGTCGGGGAACGCATGTTTATCTGGGCGACGACATGCCGGATCCTGGACTGGTGCTGGCTGGTACAAAGTGCGGAGACGGCACGGTGAGTGCTCAGTTTATCATTTCATTTGTAAAGAGATATTTTAAAGAGGTTGTTTTTAATTATTGCTAAGTAGCACGGACGCTGCTCAAGACTCACCCATGTATAGGTGTTTATATTAAACTTATATATTTTCTGATTGCTCACTAAGTTAATGTGCGATCTCTTTCTGTAGCTTATGAAGTAGCTGTTACGTTGTTGTGTATTGCCCTAGTTGTCCTCTTGACACCTTAAAAAGGCTGATAACTATATGAGCCTATTGTAATATTCCTTTGGGTGCTGAGTAAAGAGTACTGCAGTGCAGAGCAATGGCATGGACAGAGTGGTTGCCCTTCCTAAAGAGAAGGGCTAATAAAGTTAACTCCCGAGTGAATCCAGTGATCCATATACGTATACACATCATGCTGAGGGCTGGACAAGACCCTTATGGCAACCCGTTATTTTATTAGCTGTGCCTATCAACGTCTCTCCTTCTATGCGCTGCCCTCAGAAACCCTCTCTCACCACACCAGTGACATTGAGGCCCTTTTTCTGCCAAGAATGAGGCGGAGAAAGAGCTTTGGCTTGGAGCACTTGCCTCCCTAATTCTCTCTCCATATGAGGTTACAAGATCTGTTCTCAGTCCTGCATTAATGGCAAATTGGCAAGTGGTCGTGAGGGCGTATGGTATGAGGCTCGTATGGGCAATGTTACCAACTTCCTCTGCGGTTTTATATCAATAAGTAAAAAGATGTAGCAGCTGTACAGACTTTAGAAGTGAGGTTCCCTGTGCAGAGCTTCAGTAATGAAGTGTTCACTGGCCTTGATGCTTTCCTTATGGTACCAGGTGAACTGTTGTTGGAATAAATACTCTTTCCTTCTGCTTCTCCCTGGTGGACATTTTTAAAATCCAGTTGCATTGACAATGTCCTTTCTCACCATTTCCTGTAAGACAGAAAATATTACACAAGTTTTGACACATGGGGCCCGGACCTGTCCAGATACACATGGTGTCTCCTCAGTAATCCTCACCACTGGATGATTGATCAAACCTTAGCTTGTGAAAGGCTGAATGTGTGAGGGCTGTGCGATGCTAGAAAGAGAACTAGTTTCATACAACGTGCTGTCAGACTTTAGACTACAGAACCAATCTCTGGTGTCTCACAGTCCCACAAGTCCTCCTACGCTTTGTCCGTTTCCTGAAGCGACTTGCCCTTGGAGCTAAGAAGCCTTTGGGCCGGTTGCCAGGTCAGGTTGTTTCCCCCCCCCCTGGCTGTTGTCTCTGCAAAATGTGAATGAGCTGCACACATTATCTAGAAATGTTGCTGGCCTGCCGGTGGGTTTTTGTCATGGACCTTTGTTGGCTTTCTATTTTCCATGCTTATCAGGGCGTTACGTTGGCTTGGCCCACACGGCAGTGGCAATTTGTGGAAGATGAAAGCTCAGAACTGCTTTGCCTAATACAGGCCTTATTTTCTACATAAAAGCAACAGCTATCGTTGCCAGTTCTGGGGATTCTAGGGGATTCACAACATATTGTCTACTGAAATCGTGCACGTACAGGACAAGATATGATCCAACGGTTCACACTTCCTCTCAGCTTTTGTGTTCATCTTTATTCTCTCAAATCCTCTGCCTCTTATGAATGCCTAATGATGCTTTCCTCTTTAAAGGTGTGCCTGAATCGCCGGTGCCAGAATGTCAGTGTCTATGGTGTGCATGAGTGCTCTGGGAAGTGCAACGGACGTGGGGTGAGTGCAAAGTATCTTGAAGCTTAATAATCCATGTTGAATAAAACACTGTAGCCTGTGAAACTCTGTGTTTATCCATTGAGCCACTGTTTGACCAACTAAACAAAATGAAGACTCTTTTATTGCCATATAATAGCAGAGCAACCGTGTATTTACTTCACGGCCTGTGACTTGTGGCAGAAACTCCTATTTTGTACAATCGATCTTCATTGTCCCACGGAGGTTAAATCAATCCCACTTAGCAGCTTCGTTCATGTTCTACTGAAGCTGTTGTTCGTCATCTTCTGGCCGTACAGAGAGAGGCTGTACAGTGCAGCACTGCGGGGAGGAACCACAATTTAGTAGTTCAGCCTAAAAGTAACACTTCCTGCCAAGAAATGATCACCCTTCTCTCTTGGAATTTCTTATCAATACATCAACAGGGGGTACGTTTATGTTTTACCTTTCGGAATCAAACACTCACCGGGGGCTAGTTTAGCTCACGGTGAACTCTGATCTTCATCGTCGGTTTACTGCGCAGAGCTTATATACAAGGAGAAACCAAACCTGTGATTCTAAAAAACGTTATATTTCTTCAACGTTTTCTTATTATCTTGCAAATGGCCAAACACCCTTGAACCAAATCAGTCCATCAATAGAAAATAATGTAGTTATGCTGCCAGTTGATGGGCTCGCCGCAGTAACAATAATCACATAGAAAGTACTTTTTGAGAATTGAAGTAAAGAGAAATAGTTTCCCATTGAGAGTGTGGACATGAGCTGCCAAATCAATTTTTCCGTCATTTTCTCAAACACCTCACACAGTACGAGACCTGACTGGAAAAATAGTGATTATCTAAATTTACTTTGGTTGAAAGAATGTTGTGTGCCTGCAAGGCAACTCAATTTATCTTGCCAGGCATGTATTGACTGTAGACAAGTACATTAGTATCTGCTGAATGTTTGTTGCTTTTATCAACTAGACATCTTCAAAAAGTCTCGTCTTTTCTGATGTATAAAAGATGTTGATATGAGGAACTGAAGACAGAGCCTGTGTGTGTCATCAAATACGACAATCAGCCACTGATTACATTTCAAATATATTTAGATATCCTCAGACATAGAAAAATGACATTTACAAATATGCATAGAGTCGATATAATCTGTCTTTGTATATTTGTTTTTTGTATGCATCTGTAGTTCAAGAGGATTTTAAAGAATTAGGTGACTATACTGATTTCATATTTAGTGTTCATCCAGAGATTGTTTCCTTGTTAGAAAGTTCATATTTGCTATGCAGCTGTAACATTTCCCTACACACACTCACACTCAAAATCATACCTCCCTGTGAGCCCCCCCAAGTGCTTCTTAACCCCGTCACCCGGTGAAGGAGTGTCCATGGCCAGGAGGCAAGTGAAGGCACTTGACTGCACGTCTGTGCTAAATGTAAATCCCCCCCACAGCTGTACAACTCCCTCTGCACTGCCGTCCTCCTCCGTCCTCCCTCCAACTGACAGCTGGACTGCGTTACTTCACCGGGGGAATCCTCCTGGATCCAAACTTCTGCACTGGAAACCCGAGGCTTTGCGGAATGGACTCTCCCATGCACATGTTTTATCTATTGTGACTCTTGCAGAGCCAGTGTCCCCTCATATTGGAAGCCACTCAGACTAACTGAATGAGAGTGGTTTATTCATGAAAGATAAACCAATTCAGTTTTAGTCGTGTTATTTATGGATAGAATCATACATCATATATATCTGGAGTTTCGCTGGTAGGAATACAAATGCCTTTCCATGCTATTTTATGCAGGAGAAAAGGAGTATCAATATAGTATGTAATATACGGCACAACTGCCTTGTTTGCAGGTGTGCAACAACAAGAAGAACTGCCACTGTGAGGCACACAGGGCCCCGCCGTTCTGTGAGGGAGCGGGCTTCGGTGGTAGCATTGACAGCGGGCCAATGAGACTGGCAGGTAATGTGGACAATTTCATTTCTGTCCTCACTCATCTAGACATCACTTTCTTGCCAAGTCAATACTGGATTGATGTGTGTTTTGGACTGGAATGTGACTTTCCTATAATAACACAACTCCCCCTCCACCCAGCGATGCATTACCCTGTGTGCAGTCTGTAGCTTTGAGAGAGAAAGAAAATGAGTTTTAGTCCTTGGAGTGATTTGAATCACAGACTGTGCTGCAAACTGTGGCCCAGCGGTAACAACCTTTGCGTTGTGTCCTTTCATTCTGTGCTGTAGATGTGCGTGCGTGTGTATTAATGTGCGTGTTGTCATATGTGGCATCAGCCGACAGTGTGGTCATTACTGTGGCAATCCTGGTTACCCTGGTCAGCCTTCTGGTGACCGTCATCGTCATCTTTCTGAGGAGGAAGACTCTGCTGCGCCTCCTCTTCGCCAACAAGAAGAGCACCTTGGAGAAATTCAGGTGACCCGACTCTTCACAAAACAAAACAAAGAGCTAGTGAGGTGCGATCGGGGCTCAGTGTCGTGTGGAGAGGCTGTTCAGAAAGTTAGATTATCGGATTCTGCTGCTTCTGCTGTCTTGTTTTAAAGTTAAATTGTTACATTATTTTAGTGATGTAGCTCACTAACTTTTTTCCTGCAAGCAACATCTTACAGTTTGTGAATATACCAGAAATGTAATCTAAATATAGCTGAAATGTTTAAGGTAAGAAACAAGTGAGCAACATGAAAACAAACGTATAAAACACATGACACCAGCACTTCTGTTCTTCTTATAGATCTGTGGAGGCCAACAGGCCGACCAGCCCCATCAGGACTCAGTCCGTGTACAGACCCACCCCGCAGCGCAAGCCTCCACCCAAACCCTCTGGAGCCAACATTTATAGGGTGAAAATACATCTGTTACTGCAGTAATCAATGTGTATCGGCGTTTACTTTATCTTCATATGCAGCCATATATTCGCTGCATATGTGTGTGTTTGTGTGCCCATTTGATTAGATTTATTTTATAATCACACACTATTAGATCACCAACCTCCAAGCTCTGGTTTAGAGTTGTTATGCTTCCAGGCTTGTTCACAAAACAAGATATCAGGTAATTGATTCAGCCTCACTATATATATATATATATATATATATATATATATATATCTTTCTCTGAGAAATATTAATTACGGCGCTTTTGTTGACGGGAGGCACAGGAACTGTAATTGAGCGATCGCTCCGTTTAAATGAGACTCAGGATGTTGTTATTTGAGCCCCTTTAATGCGCTGTGTGCGATAAAGATTGTTTTAATGAGCAGGGAGCAGAGCTGATTGATTCAGGCGGAGGAAGAAGGTAGGTCTTGATTTGTTTGTTGGAAATGATAAGCACAACGAAAGATTACCTTTCATTTATACGTGCGTGACGAGACTAAGGCATTTATATACACGAGTGTGTGCATGTGGAAGTAATTTCTGCAGCAACTCTGTATACAAGATCTATTTGTTATGATAGTTGAGCTTAGACGGTCATCCAGTTCATGATGATTAGTATTCTGTCCACCAGAACAACAGCCTGTCTGTCCTTATTATGGTGACAGCTTCAGCCACTCGCTGACGTCCAGATGTCCCTCAACATCCCTCTTAGAGCACGTGTGCATTGTGTGTGTGTGTGTGTGTGTGTGTGTATAAGTGCATTGTGTTTGTGTGCGTGTGTTGTCCACCAGCCAAATCCTTTCTGGCCATTTTAGGCGTTTGTTCTGGGGCAGAGAGGTAACAGCTGCTCAGGACATGCGGTCAGATTCTGGCTTTTACAATTTCAGAACGTCATATCTAATATGCTGTTCTCCAGTTTTATGACTGTTTCTGACATCAGCTATTTCACACTGCTGAGAGCTGTGTGACTGAAGGGGAGTTTTACTTTTTTATGCCTGCACTACAATCACAGACTAGGGCTGCAACTATAGATGTTCTGCATGACCACAAATGTGTTGACTATTTGTTTGGTTCATCTGATATTCAGAATGTGTTCTATAAGTTGTCAGAGGCTCGTTTCACATCTTGAAGTTAGAAGTCTTCACTGATTCACAACTTTTTAGAAAAACCTTCCGGAACAGGACCTCCAAAATACTTTCTTTAAAAGGGACCAAAAGACAGTAATACATGATAAATAGAGCAGAGGATAACTAGACCCGAGCACCAGAGGAAGCAGCAGCATGATGGGACCAGTCAACAAGCAGCCTTGATCAAAAAGAGTAATATTGATTTTATAGATATATTATATGATACAATTCCATTTAGCTGCTTCAGTTTCAGCGTCTTAGTGTTGTGCATGCGAGCTACTTGTCACACTGTCATGGTGTACCGGGACGCTTGACTACAAACAGAGATTGTTAACTTTAACAACTAGTAACACCTGTGACAAAAGCTTCTGTACTGCTGCCACAACAGATAGCGCATAACCTCCCCGGAGCTCCTGAAAATAACTTCCTCTCGTCCTCTTTTCAGCCGTCTTTCCTGAGCGCGGAGCCTCTTCTCCCCCCACACAACTTCCACTCTCACAGCCTCCGCAGACTGCCCTTCTACCAGCCCTTACACATCAGCCAGCCCATGCCGGTGTCCCTGAGTGTCGGCCAGCCCACTCTGCTTCCTCTCCCGGTCCACCACAGGGTCCTGCCTGCCCACGCGTCTCTCTCAGCACCTCGAGTGCCACCTTTTCTCAGTCTGCCACGCCAGCAGTCGTCCTACAGAGTGGACCAGGTTTGTTTGAGTCAAGAGTTCATGAATCCTACAAAGTTTGTTGCTTTTACTTAAAATTGTCTTTTAATATTGAAAAATGGGACTTTATTTTGATGTTGACCACAGCTTTAATGGACCATGCTGATGTGGCTTAGCCCATTCAAATAGCTCAAGCTGTGTATATTTTACTCTAGATTACTCCTGACCAGTTTCTAAACCATACCACATCTTAATGCTGTTCTACACTATATTCTAGGCAACCATCACTTTTTCTTTAATTGCATAAAGTATGCTTATTGCACAAGTCAACCTGCTGAGACTTAAACCGAAATTCGTCACAGTAAACATTAGTAATCAATCCTTGGTGGTGCATTTAAGGACACTCTTTCATTACAACATGAAAGTAATAAATAAGAAATGCTCTCTGTGATGGATGATCTTTGTCAAGCTCATTTTAAGTCTCTGAAATTAACAGAAATCAATGGGGTGAAATGGAAGGTAGGAAATTCATCTGAAAATGTGTTCTTACAAAACGTTCTGCAGTAATGTATAAAGTAAATGTGTGCAAATTGCCTTTAATGGTCTAAAACTTGCTTAGCCACCTTTTTAAAGGTTGTAGCACAGCGTAGGATACGGGAAACTCGCTGCATTTCTGCACTGCGGTCGGCTCGCTCTCCAACATATCGACAGCAAAATTCAATCCGTCTCCTTCCCCGTGACCCAGCTCCTGAGTAAAAGGCGCTGCTTTCTGCTGAGCCAGCAGTATCGAATGCAGTGGGGATAGTAAATCCATCCGTCTGGTGGATTTGGTGGTGCATCCAAATCCAGATATAATGTACCTGCGCAGCTACCAGAATTGTGTTGGATGTCGGAGCCGCAGCAGGGTGCTCGGAAAACATCGACAGACGCGTGCCGCTTTAACAAAAGAGGAAGACTTTGGCTTTGCGATGAGACGCTTTCTCTCTGTTGGACAAAGAGCAGAACATAATCCCAGATTTAAAGCAATAGCATGAAGGACTTAGAAGGTGACATGGAGACATCAAACCCTCCTACCTCCAAGGTTAATCATTCAGGTGAGCAGCAGCCGAGGTGAAAACTAACTAAGGTATTGTACTTAAGCACAATTCTGAGGTACTTGTACTTAACTTGAGTATTTCCTTTTTCTGCTGTTTTATACTTTCGAAGGCTACACTTTAGTTCACTTCATTTATCTACAGCTGGAGTTACTAGTTGCATTTTAGATTTGTCTTGTCACATTTCAGATAATTCATTCATTAATGAATTGTTAGCAGTTGCATCAAATAAGTAATTTCCCTCCGAACTTCTAAGAATGTTGCATTTGAATAACTGAGGGCCAAAGAGGTGAAATCCGGTCGAAGGCGGCGTTATCAGCTGTAACTGCCGGCGGCCATTAGTGAGCTAGTGGGTCATGCTCTCATGCACTAAAGGGCGTGACTTTGCTTTGTCAACAAAGTACAGAGAATGTGGGATTACAACACACAGAGGGAGAGCGACTTGATACTCTGCTCAGGTAAACATTACTTCACTATGTCTTTACATAAACAGTTGTTTGCTGCTCTACTTATGCTTTAAATATTGTATAAAGAACCTGAAAGTAGGATCTGAAATGCAGGACTTTCAGCTGTAATAGAGTATTGGTACTTTTACTGAAGTAAAGAATAGTTCCTCTGCCACTGAGCAGCAGAAACACCTGGTATCATGTCCAGTTCTGGATGGTTTAGTGGGACACATATCCACCATATCAACCTTGATTGATACGAACGTGTGCCAACTGAAGATGCACTTTAGCTGAGAGGCCGCTGCTAGCTGACCTGCCAAAACAATAAACCTCCGCTACCTGCTAATATCTGTTCGATCATTCCGCTGTAATGGAACAGATGGAGCGAGTGGAGATGGCACCTGTAGGTCAGAAACGGAGGAGATGGTTTTCTTGAGATTTAATAACCGGCCCAGCAAGGACGTACTGGACATCAATCCTGCAACAGAAAGTGTATTACAAGCTCATTGTGATACTTGACACAACCTCTCCCAGGGGAATTCTATCCTGCATCTGTGACAATGAAAGCAGAGTGGGAGATGAGAATCTTCCCAAACAGACATGTTCGTTTATCCTAAAAAAAATACATATCAGATACCTGTAGAGTGAAATACATGTGAAGCAAACAAGCTCGGACCCTCTTCAGGTTCATCGCACTGTCGAGGAGGGGGAAAAACAAATCATGCCTTTCCAAAATGTCATCCTTTCAGGAACGCAGAGAAATAGCTTTGCTTTCTGCCAGACAACCACGCATGTCTCCGTTCCTCTGGAGGGCTTTAAAAGGTGCTCGTCGGCCCGAGGCTCGTAGGTCTTCCGCAAGCCGACGAGGACAGTGCAATCTTTCATTTTGAATTAAGGCATGGGAACACCGCCGGGAATACCAGTTACAGCGGGAAGTTGTTCTGCCAACGGCGGCATTAGAATGCACACGGGTCCTGGGTTATTGTTGCGTTTGAGTGGATGCAGCTGGCCATTTACATCTTTGTTTTTTCGTCCGTGCACTCCTTTGAAAAACATCGTGCTTCTGTGTGTTTCTGGGGGAGTTATTCTCCACTTAAACTAAACCGTCTGTGAGATGCTCTGTTGGTTTCTGTTGTATGTTTTCTTGCCCCCCCCCCCCACCTCGACATTCTCAACAAGTAAGAACCGTGTCCACGTGGGGCTGCGATGCAGATTCAGAGTACAACAATCCTGCTAAACCGTTTTAAACGAAGCTCTGTCTGATTAACGCGTCGTAGCATCTCTACCTCTGTGGGGCATCTCGTGCTTCTAGCTGCATCCAAAGAGCTTTAGGCTGATGTACGTATGCAGAGAGGTGTGAGTCAGTAATTCTCTCAGTAAAGAGGCTACAGTGCACCTTAGCCAAATGAATATTCTGTAGCATGAGTGAATTGTTGCCCTTGTTGTTTTAATAACTACAAGTAGACATATAAACTATTATAGTGTGATACTTTGGAAGGAATGTAACCTTTAAGTATGTTATGTCTCAAGTTGTTGCTTAATTTGCGACATCCGTGAATGTATTTATTTAGAACTGAAACAATTGGTCGATTCGTCGTTCAGAAAAAAAATGAAGATGCAACTTTTTGGATTATCAATTGATCATTTAAGAAAAAGCTAAATGATCTTGTTCTGACTGCTCAAATGTCAATTTCTGCTGGTTTTCTTCGTCCTCTGTGATAATTAAAATGCACGTCTTTGGTTCAGGACTGTTGGTCAGACAAAACTAACAATTTGAGGATTTCAGCTCCGGCTGTGGGAAAGTTTGATGTTGTTTTTTTTTTTAGCAATTTTCTGAAAGTTTATCGACCAAAACGGTTAAATCGAGAAAATAACAGCAGATTAATCAATAAAGAAAAAAGCCATTATTTGCTGTCCTGATTTGATTATTATTTGATTATTGATTATTATTTCAACCTGACATACATGGCCAAAAGTATGAAGAGACCCAAACACTGCGCCCATATATGTGTGTGTGACTCTCTGCTATAGCAGATATCCAAGTCATCACTAAGGTGTTGGACGGTGTTGAGGTCAGGGCTCTGTCTCTGCAGGCCAAGACTTTTTTGCACCTTGTGTAGTGTAGGAAGATACCGTCATGTTGAAACAAGAAAGGGTTGCCACAACGCTACTGTCTCAAATATCACCGCTTGCTTTGAGCACTGAGATTGACCTTTCAATTGGAAGCAAAAGGGCCCAAACCACAAAAGTATGTGAACAAGAGTGTCTCCATTCGTTTTGTCTATATAGTGAATAAATATGTAATACGTTCGGGTAAAACACTCCTCCATGCTTAGTTCTGCTGGGTCACAGCACTGAACACTCACAGGTTTATAACTATAAGGCTGCATGTCGATGTGACAACAGTCACGTCTTGACTGCACTCATGCATGTTTTTAAACCTTCCAGTTCTCTAAGTCTCACCCATGCATGATGTGGAACACTCTCTCTCTCTGTGTGGGCACTTTATTTTACTTTTGTAAAATGTGTGTAATGGTGTGTGTGTGTGGGGGGGGGTCTTGTGCATATGTGTTAGGCGTGTGTGACAGTAGCTGGTAGCAGATGTTTATCACTGCCTCGCCTCCTTGCTGTAGATTAGTGACACATGATGACACCTCATGCAGATAACCTTCTACACTCACACAGCACTGCCACAGAGGTGGCAGAGGAGACAAGAGGAGGAGGAGGAGGAGGAGGTTTGGGATTTATCTGGTGTCTGCTCTGGGGATTCAGAGAGGAAACTGATAACACAGTGCCCTCTAGTGAAACGTGTCTGTCTTTGTCTCCAGATAGCTGCTATACAGCTAATCCATATTCAAAGGGAGGTAGACGGTGACATGATACACTATTCAGGTTTCCTTAGAATGCGTCTCAAGATAAGAGGAATGCGATTTGTCTTGTTTTTTTCAAATTACTATGAGTTGGCAAATGAGGAGTTTTTAAAATGCTGCTCCAATAATGATTCCGTACAGGTTTTAATCTGCATTTGAAGTCAGTTAATTCGAAAACAAGTCTCTCGTTCCTCAAGACACGTGCTTGATCATGCACCTCTATGCGGTAAATCCTGGATCATTGAAAACAGGACAACGCTGTTCTCTTTCATTCTGTAGACGCATTCAAATGAGCACATACTGTATATAGTGTTGACCTGATGGACTACGTTTGACTTTCTTCTTCAGGACTTTGAGAAACCCAATCCACCACAGAAACCCCTACCTGCAGACCCGCTGGGGAGGAGCTCTCGGCTGGGTCACAGTGTCCGGGTCCACGTCCCGGGAACCAGACCCCTCCCCATACCCATCCCCACTGTGCCCAGGCCTCCACCCACCATCCCTTTACCCAGCAGGTCAGTGCTACGGGACACGTATCCCATGTCTCTGTTCACACACGGAACACAATACATTGTTGGCTTCATCTTCATCTGTGAAAGTGATGGTTTACGAGTCCATCACGTCAACGTTTTGTCGCAGCTTTATTCATGACAGGAGCCACAGTGCTTGCACCATGTTTGGCACCTGGTGCACAAGAGGAATCACTGCATCTCTGACGGAGTTATTTTGCCATTAAAGCCTAAATGAATGACCATCGTGAGCATGAGGGACACTTGTGAATCTCCTCATGTGTTTTCCCTTCGATCTCATCAAGTTTGAGGCTCTCGCGACACTCGTTAAATTCCTATTTGCTCACACGCTGTATGTGAGGTGTTTTGCTGGATATTCACAATTCCATCCATGCAGTTGGGAGTGCTGGTCTGATTAATATGGTCTGATGAAATTTAGTTTACGCAGGGTATTCTTTTAACCTCTTTTGCATCACACCATGTGGGATAAAAGACTAATCAGAGAAGCCCTCCTCAGCAACTTGAAATTGGATCATTTGCAGTGAATCCTGGTTTTTGTAACACATTGTCATGCATGAGACGTGATAGCGTTATTACACCTCTCTAGCCTTGTGCTAATAGAAATCATGCACGTGTTGCTGATTGAATTAACGCACAGTGATTTAACATTCTGTCTTTACTGTGATGCTTTCGTTTCAGACCTGTGCCAATGTTGCCCTACAGACCACCAAAGACATGAGGACTGCTGAGCTCTCGACGTCACGGACGAGTCGATCTCACACCAACAGACGGAGACTTTCTGTATTTGCACTAATTACTGGGACTCTGTAAGAGCTTTTGGACAGTCTGAAGTGTCACAGAGTTTCTAGTGAAAGGGGGCTAACATCCCACCTCGGTGCTACGCCTCTGAAAGGTGCTTTGTTGTCCTCACTCAGGTACCAATGAACTATTTATCTATTTAATTATTTAACTGCGATATTACCAGTTTGTGCACAGGACACTCGTCCAGAGTGATTTTTCCACACGGAAAAGTTTAGAAAAATGGTGTAACGGTGTACTTAAGAATATTTCTTTTGCATTCTTCGCTGATTTTTATACTTGTTTTCTCAAACGAAATGCTGAAATATCGGATGTTTTTATAACCATTTAAGTTGCTTGAATATGTTAAGTGCAAAAGAAAGTTTGTTTCGTGGCTAAAGTGAAGATAAAGGGAAATGGAGCACAACTTGGCAAATTGTCAGTGTAGCGAGTGGGCGATAGAGCAGAGTTATTTATTCAGTGTTTCATATTTTTATGATGTATTCGATACCAAGTACATCTTTTCTAAAGTCGATATTAATCAAATCTTTTTTTAAATCAAATCCAGCGGACTCCAATTAAACTCCTCACTACGTTTTTATTGCGGGATTGATCGGATGAGCTCATTCCGCCGCCTCGCAGTCGGGCTCTTCTATCCCTTATAAATTCAGTTTTTTTGCGGCTAAGTACTTAACAGGAAAAGCACTTTCTCTGACTCACTGCTCGGGGCATGTGTTGGACGCTCCACCTCCTGGTTCTGGCAGATGCTGCTGAGGAGTCTTAACAGATTTGACAGACTGATTGTGTTCCAGAGAATTACACCAACAGCAAATAATTCAACATTAACTCCGGTGTTTGTATGTTTCACATTTACGCTCACTTTGTCCTCGAGTTGTTCGAGCCAAGCCGGATGACTTCAGCGCTGTGAGCTTTCCAAGCTTCCCCTCGACCGCGTCCAACAACGTGCTTAACCGTATCCATCTCCTCTTTTTGCCTTCATAACATTCCATTTTGGTTTTGTATATGTTTGACATTCTTGAACTCTGAGATTATTTGTGCGTTCTTAATAATTAGTAATGCTTCTCTTGTTTCGGAAGTGTTCAGAGTAACTGCTCTCCGCTGGAAAATGTTAGTGCTGTGTCGATTAGTCCTTAAATGTTTATTCCATTTGTAAAACAATCCTAAATGTGCTGTGTTTATTTACATCACTGTAACCTGCTTAAGCCATTGTAAAGAGTAAATATTGTATGTTATCATTTTCTTTATTTCTTTTCTTTTTTTTTATAAGCACGGTAATATAAGAACTGCTTTGAGGTTGTGCCCCATTTACACTGGCTGATGAAAACATGACTTTGAAGATTTCAACCTATGACTTGTAAGCCAGAGACGAATGTTTGAACTGAGAGATTTTATTGATGAAGTCGGAGCCAAATAAAAATCCCTTTATGGCTGTTTATAACAAGTTGTTTTAATTTGCATCCTCACTTTGATTTTCAAAGTTATTAAAAAAAAAAATAACTTCAAAAAGAAAATAGCTTCAGAGAAACTTTTTAAAACCATAAGTTGCTGTTAAGGAGATAAATAAGGGTTCATAAGAAAAACATTTTCACCATTCGATGAGCATGAATAATTAACTAATGACGTTCTTTGTTGTTGTTTGTTTGTTTTCTGGCCTCTGAGGGGGAGGAGTGTGCCTAAAGCGCTGTCTGCAAAAATGCAACCCACCTCACAAGAAAGCCACCAAGAGTCACCATGACAAACAAAAACAACAATACAACTCAGAGGCTTTGCTCATCCTTTCCTCGAGCAGCGACCAATAAACACTCCAGGTGTACGTGTCATTTTCCCCAATGAAAGTCTTACGTCATTCTTTATACGAGGGTCTGCACTACCGTCTGAACTGGCTCAACACTGCCACCTGCCGGACAACACTGGTCATTACAAAACCCTCTTTAATCTTGTCTTAATGTTCTGCCTCAAACCACGCGGTGAAGATGCCCTTCAGTCCTGATGAAGGACCGGCTCCCCCACTTGTTAACTTGGACCGTTACTGGGAAAGAATACTAACACAGGAAAACCCTTTGACGTCTAAACTGTGACTTAAGGAACATGATGGGACCAAAAGAAATGATCCATATTAATTAACGAAACAAGTCTGTGGCATTTCAGTGACAGTAACATTATGGCATCATATAAACAATTAATGTCAGCTGTAAAAAAATCAGTAAAGTTGTCCATTCATTGAGAATGCCACTTGTTGGCGCAAAAAAAAATGTTTTACTGGAAAGAAATTGTTTGACATTTTTGGTAAATATGCTTATTGTATGCTGTCTTTCGTAGCGTTAGAGGAGAGGATTGAACTGCTATAGCACTCTCATGTCTGCGGTAAGTAGAAGTATTTGATATCGTTACCGAAGGACGTTTTGTCTTTTTTTTGTTCAGTCATTCTACTCTTGAAGAACTGCAGGCTTCTGTTAGTGTAACACTGCTAAACTCTTAGTTTTACAGGTCTTCATTTTCTGTTCTTGGCTGTAGAAATAAATGATCCGAGTTTGTCAACCACTGAGATAATTATATTCTTAATCACTAAATTAAACAACAGTTGTTAAATAAATGTGTTTTATGTACAGCTTGTGGGCCTTGCATGTGAGCCAGTTCTCATTGTAAACATCAGACCCCGCTGAGTCTGCCCATCTATCTCTGTTGTCACACCAGTGTGTGTGTGTGTGTGTGTGTGAGAGTCACTTCTATGGGATTAGTGGCCACATGACAACACTGGGCTGGCCGCCTAGAGAGCCTTTCATTTGGCTTCACTTGCAGAGGCCGTCTGTGTGCCGTCCAACACTTCACTGAGAGCTGGAGGTTTCCAGACTTCATTTCCTTGGATCTGTAGAGGAAGTTTTAACCGGACGGACTGGGAGCTCACTTGTCATGGCGCAGGACATTACCAGTTTAACTGGAGAGGATTATTTTGAAGGGAACTCACCCTGTTCAGACACGGACGCTTTAAGCCCAGGGGACAAAGAATGTGAAGACATTTTGGAGCTTAATCAGTTTGATGGACTTCCTTATTCCTCCAGGTTTTACAAATTGCTCAGAGAAAGGAAAGAGCTGCCAGTGTGGAGAGCAAAGTGTGAATTCATGGACACTTTGGCCAAGGGACAGTTTGTCATTGTCAGTGGCTCTGCCAACACTGGGAGAAGTTCTCAAGTGAGTACCGTGGGGCATTGGACACTTTAGATTGCACTGCCATGGAAAATATTGCAAAATGTAATCACGCAAAAGGGACACTTTCAAACCCATTTTTTTATCTACTTATAGTTGGGAGGCATCTGTCACGTAAACAACTTCTCTCACTCTTATTCTGAAACAGATTCCCCAGTGGTGTGCCGAATTCTGCCTGTCAGTCCAGTTCCAGCAGGGCATGGTGGTTTGTACCCAGACTCACTCGCAGCAGGCAGTAGATCTCGCCTTGAGAGTGGCCGATGAGATGGATGTCAACATTGGTCATGAAGTCGGGTACAGCATCCCTTTGGAGACGTGTTCCACTAATGACACAGTCCTCAGGTATGGTGAAGCGGCAATTCTTACTTCCAAAATCCAGCAGTGTTTCTCTATCTGGTTCTTTCTCCTCCCCCTTTTTGGGGGTTTCAATAAAGCGCTGTCATGACACACACACAGCTAAATCACCCCGCCTTTTCTTATTCACAAGAGAGAAGTGAACAAAAGGCCTGAGGGGGGGAGGGGAGAAGGGGGGGGGGCTCTTTTCAGAGACTCCTCCACAGCTGCCCCGGCTCCCTGTCTGCCCATATGTCACAGTCCCTCATGTGGGTCCCTCATAAGTCAGCTGGGGAACAAAGACACTCAGCACATTGAGGGGAGAAAAAATCAAATGAACTGGCAGCCGGCAAGTACGAAAGGATCCACTCCTCCGACTGATTATCGGAGTAAATTACACTAATAGGGGCAAAGCTGAAGTGCCTTTCATTAAAATGCCATTCTGATGTTCCTCTCTTTCAGCATAGAGGCTTACAATTCAAGAAACTGAGTATTTATTTCAGGCTATAATGAGTTTGAACACAGCTGTTTGCTCCCTCCTAATGTGAAGCGTCATTTTGTCCCCCACAGGTACTGCACAGATGTCATGCTCCTGAGGGAGATGATGTCAGACCCTTTGCTCGAGCGCTACGGCGTGGTGGTCGTGGACCAGGCCCACCAGAGGACCGTAGCCACCGATGTGCTCCGGGGTCTGCTGAAGGACATTGCCCTGCAGAGGCCGGAGCTCCGCGTGGTCCTCCTGACAGCTGTTGAACCGGGCCCACAGCAGCTGGCCCATTTCACCGGGTCAGCGGCGCCTCTGATTCGCCTGGAGAGCCCGGGTGCAGGGGAGGTGGTGCACAGCAGCACGGGTGACAGCTACTTCTGCTCGGCCCTCCGTCTGGTGCTGGAGATCCACCGCTCTGAGGAGGAAGGAGATGTGGTTGTGTTTCTGGTGACGACGCAGGTAAAAATCAACACTGCATGATTTCATCTGCAGTCTGAATATACAGTATATGTCTTCCTTTGACTTTCTTCTTTTTTTTTACTCTCCACCAGGAGATAGATCTGGCCCATGACATCCTGTGTCATGAGGGGCACAGTTTACCCCCTGATCTGGGCGAGCTCCTGCCCGTTGCTGTGCACCCTGGCCAGCCTGGGAATCTACCAATCATGGGGGAGGAGGAGACGGGACTGACCCGCAGAGTGTTCCTCACATCCAGTCCAAACGAGGACTTCTTCTGGGCTGCTAGCTCAATACGCTTTGTCATTGATGCCGGGCTTGGGAAAAGATATGTAAGTTAGTCCTTATTTGTTCTAGGGTTATAAATCATATTACTACTTCTGTAGAAACCCAACAGAAGTAGGCATGTAGGTTTTAGGGTTCCCCACAATGATGTAGAATAACGGGGAATAAAACAACTCACCATGTTGAGCTAAAATTACATAATTACTCTTGTTTAGTTTTGTTTTTAAACTGCAGCTGGTTCTTTTTGTTACATTAAAAAGCAATTGCAAATAGAAATTGCTACCCAGAAACACACTCTGTAATGTTTTAATCTGATGTCTGAAATGTAATGTCTTACAATTATTTATGCCATAACCCTTTAATGTACAACAATAAATCAGGTTTACAACCCCAGGATCAGAACAAACTCAGTCATCATTCAGCCGATCAGCACGAGTCAAGCCAAGAGTCGCAAACAGCTGGCCGGTCCAACAGGTGAGAACTTTAAGAAACACTTTTTGATGCAAATCTCTGGCAGCTGTCCTGTCCTCAAAAAATATCTTTCTTTCATGTAGGCAAGTGTTTTTGTCTGTACCCAGAGGACAGACAGCTTCCCATCGAGATTCGCCCACATGTGGTGGAGTCTGACATCTCTTCCACGGTGCTCTTCTTGAAGAGGATGGAGATTGCTGGACTGGGCCACTGTGACTTCATCGACAGGCCGGGTGAGATTCACAGAAAAGGCGACTAAATAAACAGAGAGAATATTTTCATGGATGTTTGTATCGGCTAAGCCCGTGGTGTTTCCCATCCCAAACATCCCCTCCACCTCGGTGATAATGAGGTGAATTTTGGTTTCAGTCAGTCCGTTCCCTTTTGTTGCAACACAGGAACTTCTTTTTATTGGTAGGCAGTGAGCCGTGCCTCAGCTGAACTGACAGCTCCTGTTCTGGGAGCATCCTTTTAGAGCTGACCTGCTTCCCTGTGCTTTTGTTCCCCCGGATTTATTCACCCTCACTACCACAAACACACACACACACACACACACACACACACACACACACACACACACACACACTGAGCCTCCCATTAGTTGATTAGAGCATAAAGGTTGTGTTGCTCTGTGGAAGTGAAGATGATAATAGAGAGAATCTAAGGTGGATTTAATTCTCTCTCTCTCTCTCTCTGTGTCCATGTATCTTTGTTTCACTGCGATGTTCATGGAAAAACATGTTTTTTTTGCAAAGACGGAATAGAAAAATCTAGTTTGTACCATGACATAGTTTTTCATTTTGCATAGTGATGCATGGCAGATGTTGGTGAGGATTATACAATCCTAATCTTCTGCTGCCTTTTTACCCATGCGTGCCCACCAGGGTGCCAGTATACTGTCGGGGATTGTCCCAGGGGGGGTCACCACTTTAGCTGACAGTTTACACAGCATGAAAACTGAAAAATAATCCAGCATTAGACAAAGTATATCTGTATGTACCTAATAATCTCCCAGTGTAAATACTAGACATTAATAAATGCATGTACTGGTTATTGGCAGGATTTGGTTCTCAGTTTAACAAAGATTACATTTTGTCAACAAAAAAAAACCAATGTATAATCTAAAAACCTTTCCAACCCAGATCCTGAAGGTCTAATGCAGGCTTTGGAGGAGCTGGACTACCTTGCAGCTCT